CTCGGCGGGGTCGCAGCTGCCTCTGGAAGGCACCGAGATGTACCTTTTTGCGCAAATGGTCAAATCAAGGTTTTGTAACGCGAGCTGTGCCACAGTGAAATGGCACTAGCCAGAGTGCTGGTCCCCCATTGGGAGGACGACCCTGGCTAGTCGCCGACCACACCCACAAAGAACCCTGCACAAAGATCGCAAGGGCGGGGACCTGTTCCTTTTTACCCATCTTACAGTAGAGGTGTCCGTTTTTTTTAATAATTCTTCTTTCTCGCCACCCAGGGGGGCCCAGAGTTTACCCGACCATGCCCTTTGCCCTTGGCCGCGGAGCAGCAGTAGGAGAGTGGAGAGACGCCCGCAGAACCCCGCGCGGCCCCGCCCGGCAGGTTGCTCACATGGACCGCCGCCGCAGAAAGAGGAATTGTTCAAATAGTATGACTACTGACGTAAACGCCGCCGCCCTCCCCGCGTAGTTTTGGCGGCTGCAACGTGACCTGCAAAATGGCGGCTGCAACAGGACCTGCAACGTGCAAGCTGCATGTCCTTCCCGCATCCTCCCGAGTCAGACTCCAGCGCTTGGAGAGCGAGACGGCGGTATGGACTGGCCGGTGCAAGCTTGCGCACGCATCGGCACAGGGGCGTACACGACCGGGGGCACGTACGGATAATGCCGGCGCGCGTGATTGTACGCCAGCACCCCGCCGATGCACAAGCCAGTGCCTGTAAACATGCAGGAACCCTGAACATGGCGGCCGCCGCCACCGATCACCGAGCTGGTGCGATGCCACAAGCAGAGGCAAAAGTAACGGGGTTGCCAAAGTACAAGATCGAGAGCCATATCAACAGCGCGCGCCTGCAGTCGCTCAGATGCGTTGTTGATGGGGGCTAAACAGTGTCAGTCACCCACAAGGCGTTACGAATCGGTCTAGGCACGCGCTGTGCTGTATGCGTAAGAGGCGTGCCCACAGGGTGGGTTTGGGGGGGGGGGGGGGGGGGGCGCACTTGAGCGTGTTTGCTACCGAGACGGTGACAGGCGAGATGAGACCCATCACCGCGTACCTGCGGAGGGGAAGGTGTCGATGGGTTTTGTGTAGAAAGAGCAGCAAACGGCGCAGCCGAAAGGGCGGTGATTCAGGAGGGCTTCTAGGTCCATCTAGGCCGCGTACGCGCTGACCGACTGCATGTGGAAGGCAAACCCGTTCAGGAGCAACTGCTGCGCGAGCTCCGCTGAGATGGAGGTTGCACCTGATTGCGCCATGCCAATCCGCGGCTCAAGCCGGCGGCTTCTCGCGATCCGGGATGAGCAGTGAGAGGCGGTGCTGGGCTCGGTGGGGCGAGTGTGGCAGATGCACCGGCCAGCCACGCGGGAAGGAGGAGGTAGAGCATGAAGGGCAGCTGCACGACCAACGCGGCGGCCGACGTGTAGAACTGGAGGTTGATGTAGTTGTAGTGCGTCGAGAGGAGCTTCTTCGAGAAGACGTTCTGGACACAGTCGATGCCTACGGCCCAAGCGCACCCGCAGGTCGACGCTGCCCCTCCCCTCCCTCCGGGGGGTGAACGAGCAGCGTTCAGTTGTTGGCCACTGCGGCCAGGAAGCCTCCCAACGTGAAGGAGAGCTCGGTGGAGGAGGAGAGCGCGAGCCCGAGAACGACGGGCACCAGGGAGAGTTGCACCTACCCACGCGCACCAGGGACTCGAGGCGAGGCGTGTAGCACAGACAAGGCGCGCGAGCCCGGGAAGAGCAGGCGCCATGAACGAGGTGTGCTCACGCAGCATTATCCGCGCAAAAACGACGGTGAAGAAGGGTGCCGAAGACTTGATGGTCTCTGTGAACGACACGGCGACGTACTTCAGGGAGATCAGGCCGAGCACGACCGTCACAAAACGCATTAGCCCGACGAGTGCCATGTCGCACAGAAAGGATCGCATCGGCTGCGTGGAGAGCGGCGAGTCCTGCGGCGGCCCGACACCGGTCAGCCAGGGGCCGTACATTTTCACGGCGCCAAAGGTGGCGGTCATCATCATCTGGCACATGGCGAGGAGGTTGGGATCCGCCTTGAGTGTGGACAGGATGTGCTTGTTGCCAAAGAGCGTGCAGCCAGAGAAGAAGTACCATGCGGCCATGCAGACGCCCGCACGGGCAGCCACGGAGAGCGGCTGGTGTGGCGGCGACTCGGGCTGCGACGGCGTGGACGGGCCGGCGTCCGTAGCAGTGCCGTGCGAAGACCGCCTCTCCGGCACGAGCTGCAGCTTCTCGCGAGGGCTGAACATCGGGACGCACGGCGCTACACTCTGAGGAAAGAAGAATTTTGGCACCCAGAATTCAAGGCTGGCGACACCGGAGCCGAGGGAAAGAAGAATTTTGCGCGCGAAGGTCGTCCCAAAGAGGACGCATCCAACCCGCCGCATTTCGCCCGCCGAAAAGTCTCCCACTGACCCACTCGCGCCCTCCCCAAACCCGAGTCCTCTCTACAGTTACATACATACATTCCCGTAGGAACCCTGTGCCTCTGTGTTCGTGCGTCGTCCATCTCTCCTGGACGCTGGAGAAACTGCTCTATTTATTTATTTATAGGAACCCAGCCCCCCTCCGTGTCTGTGCCGTCCTACACGAGAGGGGGATCCCTGGGACCCTGTCGTGTGGATGAACCCTGCCCAGCCCCCCTCCGTGTCGCGATGCGCTCCCCACTCCCGTTCCCCTGTGTCCCTGATCGTCCTTCCAAAGTCCTGCTCGTGCAGGTGGGGACCCTGTCCTCGTCCCATCCTCGTCTGGTTTGTCTGTTTTCTTGGAGCACTTGGAGTGCAGTCAGTAGCCGCACATCCAGGGCCGGGGAGCTCAGAAGCGCACCCAGCGGGCCGGATGTTTTCTTTCTTTCTTTCTTTTGTAAAATTCTTTCTTTATTCCCGTACTCTATTTTGTCCCGCTCTCATCTTCAAAAATGTGGCGGGGTCGTTTTCATCAGGGGGCGGCGGTGTAGGGGCGGCGGCGAGCTCCCGGTTGCAAATACTCGCCTCACAGTCCAAGATGGCGGCTCGCGCCCCCATCCGTGCACCAGCGTGCCTCTCTAGTCCCGCCTGCCACCCAGATACCGAGAGCTGGGCGCACTCTTCGACTTGGGCTATTATTTGCCCTCGGGAGGGCGGCGGCGGCGGTGTAGGGGCGGCGGCGAGCTCCCGGTTGCAAATACTCGCCTCACAGTCCAAGATGGCGGCTCGCGCCCCCATCCGTGCACCAGCGTGCCTCTCTAGTCCCGCCTGCCACCCAGATACCGAGAGCTGGGCGCACTCTTCGACTTGGGCTATTATTTGCCCTCGGGAGGGCGGCGGCGGCGGTGTAGGGGCGGCGGCGAGCTCCCGGTTGCAAATACTCGCCTCACAGTCCAAGATGGCGGCTCGCGCCCCCATCCGTGCTCTGGCGTGTCGCTTGGGTCGCCTCTGCTGCTGCGTCTCGTCTTAGCCAGATATCGAGAGCGCGCGACGACAACCAACCCTAACCCTAACCTTAACCCTATAACCCTAACCCTAACCCTAGCCCGAAGGACCCAAAGCATTCACCGAGAGCTCGCGTCGACGGACCGCTGATTCCTCCATTTGTCTTCGGCCCAAACCGGACCATTCGCTCTTAGGAGCTGCACAACGGCTTGATCTCTCTGACCCTAACCCTAACCCTAACCCCAACCCTAACCCTAACCCTAACGAGCGAGTGACGGGTAATCGTGGCCGTGGCCAAGAAAATCAAAATATTAAGCTCTCTGTTTGGACCACGGTGAAAAACTCGACGGTTTTGGGCGTTTCAGAGCACGCTGAATCGATTGGCTGAGCTATAATTCTCGCCAGCCCTTTCCTTTCATAATTATTGACTCAAAACTCGATGATCGCGCGACTTTGGAGCCGTTATAGCTCAGCCAAAACGTTCCTCTCGAAAAATTGACTTAGGAAGCCGCAAACGGCAGCTTCTGAAAGACTCACCGGCGCTTATTCTCTTGATCTTTCAAAACCTAGGCCTGCGGCCAAAATTTTCTAAAGGCCGCTGCGCGGCCAGCGCAATGCGCAACCAGTCAGCGACCGACAGTCAGCAGCAGACTGTGACGATTGGCGGCCTCGCGCCCTCAGTCGACCTCCTCTACCAACTCCCCTGCCCAGCCCATATGCCTCATCCACGGTGGCGCAACCACTCGCGCAGGGAGAGAGAGAAAGTCGGCGATCTGCGCCGTGCAGATGAGCTCCGCCTCGTCTGCGTCGAGGACGCCCATCGCAGGGCTGTCATATAGCGCCATTGCATATGACGTACTGCATGTTGTTCATTACTTCGCAGGTGCCAAAGTCGAGGATAAACTCACTCAGCGATGGCGAAAGCTGCACTCCCGGCCGGCGGTAGGAGAGATGAAGGCTAATGTACTTCGCAGTGCACGGTGCCTTCCGGCGCGAACAGTGCCCGGGACGAAAGAGGAGGCGACGTCTCCCTCGTCCATGGACGGTGTAGCCAGCTTGAGAGACGGGAACGAACGGCGGTGAATCGCCGACAGCGGCGCCTTCGTTCCTTTCCAGTGAATCGCCGGCGGGTGCCCTGAGCGTTGTATCTGTCGGCCAGTTGCCGCACCGCCGGCAGCAGCTCCGCAGCAGCCGCCCAGATGGCGCCGGTTAGGACAGGAGCGAAGCCGCGTGGACACGGCTGAGCGACGCCGTGCGTCTCGTTTGGATGCTGCAGGCATGCCGGGCAGCGCGCGTGCTCCATCCATACCGCGTCGGGCGCCCGCCGAAATCTTCGATTTCTTCGGCGTAGGGGACCAAAAAACCCTGAAAATTTTCTTCGCCTGCGGCGGGCAATTAATTTCGATACTTTCGCTTTCACAGCTCTTTCACACGACTTTATCCGTCACTCGCTCTAACCCTAACGCGATACGGTGCTCCTTAAGAGGTCGTGGGCGCCGCTGCCGACGCGGCTTGTGTTGCTGTATTTCGGCGGGGGCGCGCATTAATTACAAGAATATTGAGGCTACACGCTCGATACACACACGTCTCCTCGAGCTCCTGACCCTGAGCCCCGAGGACACGAACCACAAGCTGCTCCGCACCTCCTCTCACTAGAGTAGTCACTGTGGGAGTAGAAAGTTAAACTTGTGAAAATTTCAGTGAAAAGGGGGCGGCCGAAACGTTTCATGTGAAATTCACATGAATTCACATGTGAAAGTGAAAGGGCGTTCACTCACGAACCCTGGGTGGGGTGGTGTGGGGTGTGGGGTGGGGTGGGGTGGGGTGGGGTGTGGTGGGGTGGGGTGGGGTGGGGTGGGGTGGGGTGGGTGGGGAGGGGGGGGTGGGTGGAGTGTGGGGTGTGGGGTGTGGAGTGTGGGCTGAGAAGAAAATCTTTTGTTTGCGCGAGCCCGCGCCTATGACGCTTCACGCTTGGCGTCTTCCTGTTCCGTCAGCAGCGGCGCTTTTACTGTGTCGCTTTACCGGCGTTTGGGGCTTGACGAACAGGTCCAAACCACACCGTTGGCACAATCAAGTGAGATCCAATCTCGTCACATGTAACTGCCCCACTGTGGTTCGAATCGGCACAGCGGACCACACCTTAGGCATGCCGCTCTCCGACGCTGAGCGCTGCGAGCACGTCGACTGGATCTTCAAGGTGGCCGGGCCCCTCACCAATCTTTAGGTGCGGTAGATCGCGCCTTCCCCAGATCGCCTTGCACCCCCGCCCACAGGCCTCGGATGAATGCTCACTGGAAGGGCTTTCGCCGCATGCGCTCACCCTGGCGATCACCTACTTTGACCGCTACTGCGCGGAGGAGGGGCCAGCATGTGTCAGTATGCGCGCAGCTGCGGCTGCGTGCGTCTGCATTGCGGCCAAATTCGTTGAGTCCAGCTGCCCTTCGTTCAGAGCTCTGACGGACCAGTGCGCGTTCGGCCAGCAGCAGCTCAACGTCTCCCAGATTGAAGACGCAGGAGAGTGAACGAATCGTGATCGCGCGGGCGCTGTCCCACCCCACCTCACCTGGCTTCCCGCCCCCCAGAGAAGTGCGTGCTGGACGTGCTGCACTGGGATCTGCTGGTGGAGGAGACACCGCTATGCTTTGTCGACAAGATCGGCGACCCCGTACGCGAAACACCCGATGGCGAAGCTTTTGAGCCTCGTGGGCAGAGCGTGGAGTTTCGCACTCCGGCACCTGAAGGGTGAGCACTTCATTCAGCATGATTGCCAAAGTGTGCCCCAAATGCTGAGAGAGGCAGCCGAGGCGCTCCGGGGGAAGGGCGATCTTAGCTACGAGATTAACGATGTCGACAGCTGTTACCCAAGCATGCCGAAGGAAGCGATGCGGGTAGCGATGCGGGATATTCTACGCAATGTACGCCAGAACCTGCCACCAGGCGCGGGAGAAGACCCGAAAATACTTGTACCGAAAAGAGGCAAGAAGAAGTGCTCGTGGGCGCAGCAAGGAGAGGTGTGGGGACACGCATCGATTACCTTCTCGACGATGCTCGAGGTTATCGATTTCGATCTGGATAACTGCTACGTCATCACATACGACGGACGTCTGCTGAAGCAGGCTCGCGGTATCCCGATGGGGAGTGCGCTATCGCCGCCGCTGGCGATAGGGACTCTCGCGTGGATGGAGCACGAGTGGATGCAAACACTCGACGATGATGCGAAAGCGCGTTTCCGTATGAAGCGCTACATGGACGATGTGATCACGGTGACTGCGAAGGACGATAGCACGTGGGATGTTGATCGTTTCCGGGAAGATTTCCGCCGTTCGGAGTGCTACTGGGCCCCGTTGAAGCTGGAAGCCGCCGAGAGCACCCATTTTTTGGAAACGACTCTTGAGCTCGACCCAAGCGGAAGTTTCCGGACGAGACTCAAGAACGTTAATGAGGGCTGCGAGACGGCACCGCGAGTGTGGCGCTACCATCGTTGGGATAGCTTCACATGCGCTAAAATGAAGGCGGGCATCGTGGTTGGATGCCTGCTCAAGGTGGTCGCGATGGCAAGCGATGACGAGGGATTCGCACTCAGCGTGACGAGCAAGCTCAGGGAGTTTATGGCGCTCGGATACCCTTCGCACGTGCTTAATGGGGCGATCGGGCGCACGTTTGCTCGGACGAAAGACGAGCGGCTCCTACGAGCAAGAATATGTTCGCACTGGTGAAGGACAGGCGAGCCAAAAAAAAGACAAAAAGACTCATCTAAGCATGTCGGAGAACCGTCCAAAGGCGGGTGCAGTCGACCAAGGGACATGATCTGTCGACAGCACGAATTTGTGATGGGACACCATCGGGACCCAACAGTGCGATACTTGGCTATCGCACTGTTGACGTACCGGCGGCTAAGGCCGAGTAGCCGGTGTTCACAGAGCTCTGTGAACACCGGCGAGAGATTTTTTCTCTCGACGTTTCTTCTGCGAAGAAACGTTCAAACACTCGGTGTCGAAACACCTCTCCGACGCGCTCGACTATAGTCTGCGTGCTTTCGGCGTTTCGGCGATTTGGATGGATCGCACGTTTTTGTTATGCTTGCTGTCCCCCTCTCCTCACGTTGAAGGATAACCTACATAGCCGCTGCGCGGCTATCTCCGAGCATGAGCATCTCGCCCCCACACCCCAGCACGTGCTCTTGCGTGCGTACGGCTGTAGTGCGTCTCTCATGATGGAACCATGAATATCTCTCCCCCATTAATGGCATTATTTATACAAGTTGAGCCACAACAAAGTCAGTATAACAATAAAGTAACTAATACTTGACAAAAAGAAGCGCATGTGCGGGGTCCGGCTGATGTACGGTTCTGGAAGAGCGGTCCCCTACTGCCGCCGCGTGCGGTTAGCGTTCCAAGCAAAGGCCTCTGCGATTGCAGGCCGCAAACACTCGGCCCAGCGAGTGTACCCCTCGGGCGTCAGGTGGAGCAAGTCGTACATGAGGTGCGGCTGCAAATGACGCCCCCCGGGCCCCGCCGCCGAGGAGGCGTTCCGCTTCACCTGGTGAGCGCGGGCGTGTGGGGCACCCAACGGCTCCGCCAGCATCAGGTTGCCGTCGGGCGTCGCGCTCGCAGCCTGGTCGGCCGGTGCGTAGCCAGGCGCGAGGAAACGGTCACCTGCGCGGCGGGGACCTGTCGGTTAGCTGGCTGTGCGCGGACGTGCAGAGGAGTGGAAATCGATGCCAGGGCGCACCGCAATCGACCCACCGCACCCACGGCCGCTTCCAAGCATACGCCGCCAGCCGGCCGTTGAGCGTTGTGACCTATGGCGAGTTTGGCCGAGGTAAAGCCAAAGTGCGGGCCCCAAGTAGCAGTCAGCCTAGAGTAAGTGGCTGTTTGTCTCGGCGTCGTCCCACCACGGGGTGCGTAGGCGCCTTGTTGGGCGAGGAGGGAGGGAGATTTGTGGGTTGCCGGCTGCGCCGGGCGGCGGAATGAGGCAGCGCAAGTGGCCGCGGCTTGGGCTCGCCTGCCGCCAAGCCACGCGTCGCCGCCCCGAGGCAGGATAGCCTGCAGCAGCAGCGTCGCCGCCGGCCGCGCCGCGTGGAGCTGCTCCATCACCAGGACGAGCTGAGGCGTGGGGAAGCGGTGTTAACCTCCATGGCCTCCAGGGCACGCACCTCTCATAGACTAGCGCGCAGCGCAATCGGCGGTCTTTTCTTCCTAATCACAAGGAGAGAGAGAGAGAGAGACGCCATCGCAGCGAGCGGCTTGCTGCTCGCTGCGATGGCGAAAAACTCGTCTCGCCACACGCCAAGGGCTTATGCTCTGGCGAGACGTGAGGCGCATGCGCCCAGGAGGGGAGGGGGCATGTGTAACGACACTGCTAGAGATGCCTTTCGGGGCCCAGAGATAAAACTTCTGTGATGCCATGCGTGACCTAGTAGTGTCCCCAGCTATGGGCGTGTCCACGTTGGAGCCAGGTGTGGTGTGGGCGCGAGAATAGCTCCGCCGTTCATGGAGGCAACCGATGCGAGTCGACTGGTGTGTGTCGTCGTGGTTTCGTATCAAGAATTCTCTCTCTCTAATCACAAGGTATGCGGAGCTGCTCCGCACAAGGGTGAGCTGCGGATTGGCACAGAAAAAGAATCAAGGCCGTGTTGTGGTGTGGGGGGGGGGGGGGCGGCAAACCTCGTCGGCGACGACCCGCCATGATTCGCCAGCGCCCAGTCGTTCGTGCCAACCATGACCGCAAAGATCGTCGGGCGCAGAGTCCGCGCGAGCAGGCCGCCGCGCTGCAACCGCCAGCCGAGGTCCTGCAAGAGGGTGGCGAGCTTTGGAGGTGGGTGCTGCTGCCCCTGACGGCGGAGCGAGTTTCGATTTGTTTGTTCACCTGGACACGGTCGCCACCGATGGCAAGGTTGAGTGGCGACCACAGGCCAAAGGCGTCGTGCCACAGCTGTTCGTTCACCGGCTGCGGGATCGAAGGAGCGGTCCCCGAGAAGCCGGAGCGCAGCCAACCCTCCGTGATCGAGTCTCCGAGAAAGACCAGGCGAGTCTGTGGTGGTGCCGCCGCCGCCGCCGCCGCCGCCTGTTGCCGGTGCAGGCTCCTCCACCGCACCTCAGCCGACCAGCCGGGAAGGTTGTCGCGCGGGATACCATTGCGCGAGACTGGCGGCCACGACGGCCACTCGTCCTCAAGCTCAGAGCACATGGGCGAGCGGCTTGCTGCACGACCAGATGCGGCACATGGGCGCTGGGTTGCAGCCGCCCGCTCGCCTGGGACGTCACGGCCATCCTCGTCCTCCGGAGGGCCCCCGGCCGCGGCGCGGTACGTCGGCGTCACAAATCCGACCACAGAGCACCGGACGCGGTCGGGCGATCCGAGGCCCAACTAGGCGTATGCATTGCCTATCCAGGGCTACGTATCACCTGGCCCTATGGCAACAGGCACCTGGACCTGAGTCGCGCTTTCCTTCGCTTTCCTTCGTGTGACACGCCGAAGTCCCGCTGCTGCACGCCGCTCGCTGCCGAGCGAGCGGTGTCGGTGAGATTCAAGCGCAGCGGCCCGCCGGCGGGCACCAACGACACGTCAGACGGCCGCCGACCGGCCTGCGCAAGGGAGGGAGGGTGAGGTAGTCGACCAGATGGGTGCGGCAGGCGAAGCCCACGCCGGGTTTTGGGGGCGTGTGGGCCGCGGGACACAAGGCACCGGGGAGGGGCTGCTTTAGGCAGATCCGCTGGGCCCAGGCCACAAGCGGGTCCCCAAGGGTGAACGCTCGACGACTCCGTCCCTGCCCCCCCCCCCCCCCCGAGGGCTCCTCCCGAGTGACGAAATCGTTGACGAGCCAGTACCGGTAGTTGGCGAGGTCTGAACTGTTGTACACCCATGGCGAGCGAGTCGAGCCGTTAAAGTAGCTGCATCCGCTGCGCGAGCTGCCGTCCAGGAGCTCGAAGGTACGCAGTTTCCAAGGCACGCCCAAGAGCTCAGCCACTGCGATGGGCCATCCGCCGCGGTCGGGCTCGACCGCCGACGGGTCAAAGGTAGAGGCGACCTGGACGAGGTTGCCTCTCTCCGTCGCCTTAGCCTTCGACTCCGGAGGACTCCAGAGGAACGAGCCGGCCATCATAACCTTTGGCCGGCCGCCAGGGAGGGGCGCCGGCGCCGCGCCTGACGCCCGGGGGAAAGACAGGATGAGCGTCGGGCGCCGGACTCGACAGCTGACGAATCTTCCCATCTGCTGCATCTCGACTACCCTCCCCCCCCGGGTCTGAGAGCCCCCCGCAGGCGCATTTTGTATACCGAGGCGGTGCCCGGTGCCGAGCGCAGGCAGAGCCCACAGGTCGGACCTTAAGACAGCGTTGTCGAGCAGGCGTGGTCCATCAACGCTCGAGAGCTACTCGGCATCCTCCGAGTCGTGCAGTTCTACGGCGAGCAGCTTCAGGGCAGCGCGGTGCTTGTCGAGGGCGACAATACCGCCGCCATCGGCGCCGCGCAGAACCAGGCGTCGACGGCGGTGTCGATGCAGGAGACGCTGCGCCGGCTGCTCGAGACGGCGGAGAGGTGGGACATCGAGCTCCGCTTCGTCCACACGCCGGGCGTGCTCCTCCACCGGCCCGACCAAACCTCGAGAGGCGATCCCATCGAGGAGCCGCGGGTACGGCTAGCGGCGGCGGAGTTCGCCGCCATCGAGCGCCTGACGGGACGTTTCACCGAGTTCGTGGGCGCCGAGAGGCGACACGCCGCCGCCGAGGTCGGGACGCACCAAAGGTACCCGAGTGGAGGCAGCTCCTATCCCCAGGTGGCGAGGATGGGTGCCTCCAGGGCGAGCCGGCCGCCGCGAGTGCGGACGGCAAGCCGCCTCCCCACCTCTGGGTGCACCCCACGTATAGCACGGTGGGCTCCGCCCTGCGGCGTGTGGGGGAGCGACTTTCAGAGGCGGGCGGTCAACGGATCAGCGGAGTCATGGTGGTGCCAGATGCACCAAATGCGGGCTGGTCTCGACTGCTTCGCCATTTTTCGATCTTGGGTCGCTATGCCGTCGATGATGGCCCTTACAGATCACAGATCACAGGTCCAAGCTCAGACGCCACAAACACGCTCACTTCGCCGCTGCTGTAGATGGGCCCCCGGGGGCCCATACTACGTCGAAGTACGGACCCGATCTCGGCACTCACGGGCTGCCACGCGCCCGCGCGCGGCGCGGGCCGCACCGCCCATGCCCCCGGGTCACCGACCCCGCCTCTCGGCCCTCTCGGCCCTCAGGAGCGTGCGGGAGACCGGCGAGGGGCGCGCCGCACGCCGCCTGCAGAGCCGCCAGAGGCATTGCCGCCTCCGCTGGCGGGGTTCCCGCGCGTCCGCCCGCGCCCGGACCCGCGCCCGCTGCGCCCGCGCGCTCCGGATGCGCCGCCATCCTTCTCCTTCTTCTCGATGGCAGTCCGCGTGTGCTTGTCGACGGGTCGGCGGCGTGGTCGAGAGGAAAATCGCCGGCGGCCGCAACTCCGCCGCCGTCGCTCCGCCGGGGATAGGTGTCCATGTTGTGTTCGAAAAATGAGTAGGCAAAACATAGAGACTGAGCTGCCCGAAACATAAGGCGTACGCCGCCGCAGGTCCCGTGCGTGCACACTAGTTCCGTCCGAGTTACAACAGTTTTTCTTTCATTCACTTTCGGGTGGGTGAATGAAGGTCAAGTTCCCCTCGCAACCAAGTTCCCTCGCCCACCCCACGCCCCACCCAAAAAGACACACACACCTTCTCTGCTCGACCGAGTTTGCATTGAGAAGTGACCCGAGCCGCCGGGTGCCCCGCAGCGGCCTCGCTGGGCCAGAAAACCGGTCCGCGAGTGCTCCGCAGCAACCTCGCTGGGCCAGAATATCGGCCCGCGAGGTGGGGTGCTAGTATGAGCCCGACCCAGGTCGTCGGTCTCTCTTTCGCTACGTGTTCAACGACGTTGAACAGTGTTTGACCACGGCGCTGTTCACAGCGCGCGCGGACGGCAGTTCTGCGAGTCCCGCTCCGCAGGACTTTTGTAAAGCATGCTTGTGGCAAGTTACAGACGCTAGTATCGACCTCAGAGATCCAAACACGAATTAATAATTAAGGCTCAAAGTATGGTCAAACAACCGTCAAACAAACAGGTCAAACAACGAAAAGAGACTAGTGCGACCGCTAGACGGCGGTCTCCGCCGGCCCCAAGGCTGCCCAGCCCCAGTACCACACCGGCCACAACACCGTGGCGCTGGAGTCGGTCAGTGAGGCACTAGACGGGCTACGGAACCATGCGCGCGCCGGCCGGATAGGCTGCGCGCAGGGGCCGCGCCGCCTCGATTTCGCACCTCCGCTCCGCGGCCGACTGAGGGGCCAGCTCGCCCGGCGACAAGCCCAGCCATCGCCCAGTGCCCCGGACCGCGGGGGGCACGCAAAAAAACCGCACCTACGACTAGGGCGAGCACGTGAGGGCGTCGGTGTCGGCCGCGGGCACGCTGCGAGGAGGGCGCGGGTGGGAGCATGGGAGATGCACCACCGCTCGACGAAGACGCGCCCGACGAAGCCCTGCTAGCGGAGGATGGTCGATCCTCACCTACTAGCGTCGGGCGTGTGCGAAAAAGAGCGCAAATCCGAGCTCAACTCGCGCGCGGCTGGGAAAGGGGTGTGGCACCTTCCGAAGGCGCTTAGCGAGGAGCTGCTGCTGCCCCCAAACGCGCTCGGGCAGCACGTCGGCGCGCCTGCGGGGTGGGTAGAGGTGAAACTATGCTTGCTGGCACGCGCATCCCGCACCACCCCCACGTCCGCGCGCACCATGCCGCCATCCCACCTCACAGCCAAGCGCCATCGCCGTCGGACGCGGCGACGCCGAGCGGTGGCCTCGCAGACGACGAGCGCGATGAGGCCGCCGCGCCGCCGGGGTGGCCGGCGCGTGCCAGCCGCTGGCCCGTCCAGCGTGGCGGGACCGGCTCGCCCATCCTGGCCCGCGCGCTCGCCGACGCGAGAAGATCGAAGATAAATTTCAGATTAGGATTCCTACCCGGTTTTGAGATTCGCCTGGCAGATTACCCGACGAACGATATTTTCCTGCTTAGCGCGATTTCCGTCAAACCAGTTTACCCAGTCTCCCACAATTCGTGTTTCAGCTTACCCGGTCGCTAAAATTTGTCATGTCAGATTACCCGGTCGGCCAAATTTCTCGTCCAGATTACCCGGCAACGATATTTTCCTGCTCAGCAGCTCCCACAATTCACGTTTCAGCTTCCCCGGCCGCTAACTTTTCTCATGTCAGATTACCCGGTCGGCCAAATTTCTCGTCCAGATTACCCGGCGGCTAACTTTTCTCTTTGAGATTACCCGGGCGCGCAAATTTCTCGTTTCAGCTTACCCGGACGCGAGCGTGCACCTCGTCCAGAGACGCAGAGAGCGAGCACCTGCGGCACTTGGTCCTAAGGGGTCCCGTACCATGCGGAATCGACCCTATCCGGTGCTCAAGTGCTCAAGGAGAGCTCCCACTCGGAATCCCCGGCCTCGTTTGCTTGAATGACGCAGTCGTGAATCCCAAGTTTCAGATTACCCGGCGCATCCCACTGGCGCGGCGCAGGCGCGACGGCCCTTGTGCCTGCGCCGGCACCTGCGCCGGCGCCTGCCGCCACGGCCCTCGCCGCGGCGGCGCCGGCTGCAATTGTGATGGCTTAGTTTGGTTCTCCCCGACAACAACAACATGTACATGTACACATGTACATGGACATGTAGATAGGCATGAGCGAGCGAGAGCCGGAGAGGGCGCGTGTGTAGGCAGCTTCCGAGAGTTGAGATACACTAGATACACTGTGTATCCACCCAAGTTCTGGATACACTGGATACATATCTAACACCTAGGTCTGCGACCCACATTCTCGCCAGCCGAGGCCCGTGAAGAGGCCAGCCTCGCTTGAAGCGCCTCTCCAGGCCTCGCTTTCGCTCTCATGCGCGACGCTGGCCAGGCTATGTAGGTGCGCGCTGCCGCCCAATCGACGCGCTCCCCCGCCCAACACCCCTACCCGCCGGGCAGCGCGCCATCCAGATGGCCGCCCCGACCCTCACTTCCGGCTGCGCGCCCACGCGCCTCTCGCCGTGGCGCCCACTTTGGAGACCTGGTACGACTGCCGTGGGTGGACCTGCGGCGCCGTGGTAGCGTTCGGCTACCACTGATACCCTGCTTGGCCCCGCGTGCAAGTCTCCGGGGCCAGATCCATTGCAACCACAACTATACCAGCGCTGAAGTTGGGCTCCCGACCGCAGGTGCGTCGATAATGCTGAGCCCCTAGGGCGATCAGCCGGCCGCCATCACACGCCTCCGAGCTCGACCACGCCACCACCGTCACCTCCGATAGCCACGACGCCCGTCGCTTCCTTCTCCGCCGCCACCGCAGCCGCAGCTGCCGCCATCTGGCCGCTCGCTGGCTCCGCCACCTCCGCCACCGAGGCCTGCGCTGCGGCGAGGGAGCACGAGGCCGGCGAGGAGCGCGCGCACTGCGTCGCATAATTGGCCTACCCGCCGCGAAGCGCCGCGGTCCGGGCGCGGGCGCGGTCGCCGCCGCCCATCGGATTCGCCTCCTCCCTCGCGCATACTCTAGCGTGCGCGGTTGCGGTGGCAGAGGACCGTTCGACACCTCGCGCCGGCCGAGCAGGGCAGCCTCACCGCTCCGACCGGCCACGACGGGGCGCAGGGAGCGGGCGAGTCTGGCGGCTCGTCGAGTCCGGAAGCAGCGATGGCCATGGCGCGTGCGAGCTCACCAGCGCCGCTCAGCGCGGCTCGGGTCGTGTGTACTGTGTTGGGGAGTCAGGAGAAACGGGAGCGTGGGCGGGTGCCAGCGCCGGAGGGGAGGCGAATGATTGGCGCGGCCCGTTCGGCCGCCTCTAGCGTGCGCGCGCGCGGATCTACTTTTCCCCGCAAAAATGCATGTGCGCACTCCTTGATATCTACAACAAGGTAGCGCCCTCACGAACACGGGGCGAGATAAATAAATAAATAACACGGACACCTCTACTAGGAGATGGGTAAAAAGGAACAGGTCCCCGCCCTGCGGTCTTTGTGCAGGGTTCTTTGTGGGTGTGGTCGGCGACTAGCCGGGGTCGTCCTCCCGATGGGGGACTAGCACTAGCCGTCTTCCACATGGTCCCTCGGGTCCCTGCTGCTCCTAATCTCGTCGTACATCCTCCTGCTGATCTCAGCAACATCCTGCTCCCTCCCTCGTCTCGCCCTGCGCGTCTGCTCCGCCTCCCCGTCGTCTGCCCTGCGTTGTCTGGTGACGGGTCCTCCGTAGTCGGTCGAGGTCGCCGCCCTCCTCGTGCCTCTTCCCAACGTTTCCTCGGCGGCCGATGCCGTCTGCTCCGACTCCGCCGTCCCCGGGTCTGCCCTGCCCTCGTCTGCGCTAGCTTCTGTTTCGTCATCACCGATGTCCGTCCTCTTCTTTCTCCTCTTCTTGTATGCTTTGTACATCGCGTCGATTCCTTTTCGCGTGAGCACCAGCCTGAAGCCCGCCCAGCAGCTGAACCGCTCCCTAAGTCGAAGGAGCATCATCAGTCTCACCCACTTCGCTCGCTGCCCACCGTCTCCGCTCCCTCCCGCTTGAGCCGCCGTCGCGGCCCTCGTTCGTCCCACTGGCTGCTGGAACAGCCTGTCTGCCAGGGTTACCCTCTGTGCGCCCCTCCCCTTCAGCGCATCCCCCGTCTCTGCATTGAAATCCCCCCCGATCATGTATTCCCCTCTCGTGGCATCTAGCGCCTCCGTTAGCTTCTCCCACGTCGGTCTCACCGCCGCCGCCGTCCTCTGTCTCACCGGCATGTAGACCCCGAACTGCGTCCACTTCCTGCAGCTGGCCACTTCCTCTACCTCCACGCTCACTATCCTCCCCTCCTCGATTTCCGTCGCCACCGCTCTCCCCTCAGCGTCCCTGCGCTCCACCTGAATGTGGGTTGGGTCCCACACAATCATTACCCCTGTGTGCATCTCCCCCGAGATGTGATCGCACCACCCTGGCGTGCCGCACCCGTCTAGCCCTCTAGTCTGAAGCAGCGCCACGGTCTCTTCCAGCTCTCGCCTAGTCTGTTTGGTGTCTGCGAGGGTGGCGATGGTCACGCACCCCTGCTTGAGGATCCCGATCACGTCTTCTAGCTTCTCTGTCGTGTCATTCCCTGTATCCCTCACCCGCCTTGCCCCCCCTGCCCCCCCTCGCAGCTCCTCAATCGTCTCCATCGTCCCATCCCGCCTCTCCAGGTGTAGCCCACACACGTTGAGGGTGAGGCAGTGCGCGCGCCGCTCCCTCTGCTCACCCCTCCCTCCCCTCGCTTTCGCCACTCCCCTGCCCGCCCCCCGCCCGTTGCCGTGCAGCGCACGCATGAGCGCGTTCCACTCCTGTACTGACATGTGCCACACGTAGTCTGCCGGCACCCCCAGGTGCTTAAGATCTGGGTCGGTCAGCAATTCCTCACCCCGCCGCACCCTCTCCTCATCTAGCCTCTGTAGTAGGCCTCTGATGGCCATGCGCTTTCTCCGCCTCCTCTCCCAGGACTGCGGCTTGCCCCTGCCCTTGCCCTTCCCGTCCCCGCCTCCCACTGCTGGC